GAAGAGATAAAGAATTTGTGGGACAAGGGAGAGGTGCAAAGCAAAGACATTAGATTACAAATGAACACATCTAACTTCTGGGATGAAAGCCTGGGTAGTGACATGTGCTCTGGAGCCAACTTGTGGAAAGTAGAGTAATCAAGACACGGGCCATGAGATTGGGAAGCTCAGTGGTCTCAAGACAAATGGGGAGTTGAGGTCATGAGTACTAGTAGAAGAAGGCAAGCAGTTTTTTTTTTCCCCTTATGTATTTAGTACAAGGTCTACAGGGTCTCACTACACAGATAGGACTCATAGTGATCCTCCTGTTTTCAGCCTCCCAAGCACTGGAATTACAGGCGCACACCACTGTGCCCAGTCTCAGTCACAGTCTCAGAGCACCCCATTGGCAGGGCCAGCATGGCACACCAGAGATTGAACCCCAGCAAACAGAGTTCTTAGAAGGCCCTCCTTGGTTATTGACCACTTTCTTGCTCCTGTGGGAGACAGACAGGGGCAGGGCCCCTTACTCAGAACACTTCAGTAGAGGTTACTTGTCGGGATGGCCAGAAAAATATCATGTATGTGTTGCCATTGGCCTGCTATTTTAGTTAGCCATTCCTAACTAATAAAACCCAAAATCCTAGTGGCTTAAAGAAGCACTGTCTCATCTTTTCTCTAGATCAGGAATCCAGGCAAGTATAACTTTTCCTGAGTTTTCTATCTCTAGGTCTCACTCAAAGCTTCAGAATGTTAGCTGGCTCAGTCATCCTGAGGTTTAATAGAATGGTCCTCTTCCAGGCACACTCAAATAGATGGCAGGTGTAAGCTCTTCCTAGTGGTTCAGCCATCAGCTCCTCTCAAACTATTGGCAGAAGACTCCCTTGGTCCCTTGCCACATGGATGTTTTCAAGCATCAGAGCAAAAGTCAGTGAGAGAATTTTAGCAAGACAGATCTAGATGTCATCCCATCACTTTTGCTTCATTCATTAGAAGCAAGCCACCAACTCCAGCCCACAGCCAAAGGGAAAGTATTACACAAAGGTATGATTATCAAGCAGTAGAAGCCATCAGAGACCTGTCAGGTTGCCTAAATCTGAACCAACCACTCACAGAAAAAGATTAGAGCTGGCTTAGACCAGTCAGGTTCTTCCCATTTCTGGCACTGGATCCAAGTCCCCAAGTCCCAAAGCTTCCATACAACTGAGGGGAGTCACAAAGAATAGAAAAGTGTTACAAGGACAGGCAGTATTTACAGACCCTGTGCACTGGTGTCCACGCCCTCATTGTAACCATGAACCTCCTGAGTTCCATGCTGCCTCCTTGTGTCCTCAAGGTCAAGCCTTCCCTGTTCCCTTTATGACCTAATACCACTTCATCTTTCCAGTCTAATTTCTCACTTGTTCTTGGCCTCAGGATGTCTTTAATACTCCTAAGACTTTTGAAGGCCTCAAAGAGCTTTTATTTATATGAGTTATATATAAATAAATATTTAGGATAGTTATAAATTATATTTTAATATTTAATACTGTAATAAGTTGTAATAAATGTTTATATATTTATATATAAATGTATATATTGATAATTAAAATAAAAACAAATTTTAAAAGTATTTTTGAATTCAGCCTAGTGTGGTAGAACATACCTGTAATGGCAGCACTCAGGAGGCTAAGGCAGAAGGATCCCTGAATTTGAGGTTAGCCTGGGCTACATAGTGAGTTCAAGAGTAGCCTAAACTACACAGCAAGACCTTATCTTGAAAAACAAAATTTTTTTTGTGAAATCATTTTAAAATATAAACCCATTAATACATCATACATTTTTACGAAAACTACACCATGGTTTTTTTTAAAAAACACAGTTTTGTGAAGAATGACATTGCTTCATATTTTTAAGTTTTTAATGTCTGGTTTAATGAAACACAGTTCAATTTTCCTGTCTGCTATAGTCTATTTTGATACATAATTTTGGTTGAAATATATGAAGAAAATCTGGCTGCACATATATACCTAGTTTGAGAATGAAAGTACATGTACTTTAATAATCTCACCAGATAATTTGCATGTATTCATGTTTAATTAATATATCTTGCATGTGGAATCTGAACTTCTCATATTCTGTTACATTAAATCTGTTGAACTATCTGGCACTTTGAATAGCTTTTACTTGATTAGAAGATACTGGTTCACTGAGTTAAAGTCTTCCAAATACTGGTCCATTTCTTTATATTTTAAATCACATTTTTAAAAATCACTGCCTTCTCTTCAGAAAAGGAAACCTTTCAGTGTTGGAAACCAAAAATTTAAAGTCCTAATCTTCATCGGCAACAAATTCTGTCATTTATTTTCCTTGAAGTAATAAAAGTCACATTTTTTTACAAATGCCAATGTCTTAATATAGCCATAATGGGTATCATAATTTTGTCACATAAAAATGGTGCTCCAAAAAAAGATGGTGCTCCATGGAAAGCTGACTTCTGCTGGATGAGAACTTCCTCCCGTTGTGTTCTGGTTCTCCTTCAGCTCTACTGCCCCCTGCAGGCCTCCCATTAAGACCACAAAACCAAACCTGGTTGCATCGGGTATAGAAGACAGAGGACACAGCCAGGGCAAAGCAGCCACCTCTGCCTGCTTCTGAAGGGACTTCGGTTCCAGCACTCAGCACCATGTCCACAAGATATGAACCATTATAAATCAGCAAGGTGTACTTTTCATTATAGAGAAAAGAATATCTTATGAAAAATTTAAAAATCTCAGATTTTATAATTTGCTTTTTCAAGCATCTGGAGAGTTATGGGGTGGGGGGGTATTTGGTTGATTAGTTATTTGGTTGGTTGGTTGGTTGGGGTTTTTTGGTACCAGGAATCAAACTCAGGACTTTATGTCTGCCAGGCAGGCGCTATGCTACTGAGTTGTATCCTCAACCAATGAGCATCTGCTTGATAGCACCTTGTTATAAACAGAAATGCATGTCCTTGGAGTTGTGACATTAGGGTACTGCCTCACTTTGTTTGGTGCACAGCTGATACTCTAAAACTGCTGTGGGGGCCAGCCAAATAGTTCAGCAGATTAAAGTGCCTGCTTAGGCAGACACAAGGGCTGGAGATTGATCCCCAGCCCACCATACTGGCCCTGCCATAGGGATGCACTGCGTCAGTGTTGGAGACTGGGTGTGGTGGCGCATGGCTGTAATCCCAGCACTTGGGAGGCAGAAAAACAGGAAGGATCACTACAAGTCTGATCTGTGTAGTGAGACTCTGTAGACCCTATACTAAATACAGAGGGAGGGAGGGGGAAGAAGGGAGGGTGGGAGGGGGAGAGGGGGAGAGGGGGGGAGAGAGAGAGAGACAGAGCATGAGTGAGTGCTGCTGTGGGGTCTGTGCCAAAACTGTTCTTCAGCATAAACTGAGACATTGTTAGCCATGAATTTTCTACCAGTGAAAACATGGAATATATTGCTTTTCATATTAATAAAACCATTATTAAAGGTTTCTTTGGTTGATAAATTTCCATTTCTGAGTATTCTAGCTTCACAAGGGAGAGAAGCCCTCCAAAGTATCTGTGATTATATCTTTTTTTTTTTTTTTTTCGGAACCAGGGTTGAACTCAGGCCCTTGCGCTTGCCAGGGAAGCACTTATTCCACTGAGCCATCTCCCCAGCCCCCTGTGATTATATCTTATATCTAATATTTGTGTGTGTGTGTGTGTGTGTGTGTGTGTGTGTGTGTGTGTTACCGGGGATCGGACTTGGGACCTTGTTCTTGCCAGGCAGGCGCTTGTGCCGCTGAGCTATATCCCCAGCCCTAATGTTATTGTTCACTAATAGTTATAAGGCACTGCACTAAGTTTGCCAATTTTAATTGTACGTTTGTCGTTTAGTTTTTTAAGATTGACATCCTCATTTTGGTAGGAATGGAGAATTTCTGCCATCTTGATGAGATACAGTTAACTTTTCTTTGAAGGCCCTATAATTAAAGGTTTTGGCTAATGCAAGCATCCCAGGATGGTGATGGTGAACCTTTTGGATGCTGAGTGCAAAAACTACAATCCAAAACCTGTTGCAATTAAAGCTAAATACTAAAGTTGTAGTTTAGAAAAAAACTCACACATTAACATCTGTCTTAAGAAAAAAACAACACATGTCTCATACCACCCTCAAAGTGACATGTGTGCTTCCAACCAACTTCATTCAGTCAGTGAAATAATGAATCAGGCTGTTTTTAGAAAAATGTATTTGGGGCCTGAGTTCCCCACTTCATCCATCCCATGAGAATGTCACTGGGGGCTGGAAGTCATACATTTGGGTTAATGATGAGAACAAAAATAGCATCTCTTTGGAGAAATGTATCCTGGCACAATTAAAGTGGTACTCAAATTGAAATAGTTATTTTATTAAATGGAACTATTTCATCTTTGTCATATGCATGACATTTAAGTTTTAAAAGAAATCTAAGTTTTTCTTTCATCCATTGATTTTTTTTTTGAATGTACAGAGTCAGAGACAATATATTTCTGTTTTCATAACTCTTATATTTCTTCTGGCCATGTGTCACAAATAACTAAGCTGCAAATATTTACACTTCACGTGATTGAAACTTTACATGGCTTACCTGACACCAGTGTACCAACAGAGACAGATTATGTCCACATTTCTACTGACTGTATCTACCTCAGTGGAAAACCTAATCGGGTGGTCCGACATGAGTGTTTGTACCACTACATGCCACTCTGCTTGACAGGAGCTAGAGAATATTCTTTTTGCCTTTGTTTCTAATGTAACACTAAAAACAGTATTTCCTTTCATATTTTTTTTCTTTTTGCAGTACTAGGTTTCCTTTTACCTTCTGATAGATATTAAGTAAAGCCTTAGGAAGCTGTTCTTGTTAAGTATTATTACCTCTACAGAACAGATTAAAAATTTCAGAAAAACTTGATATATACTCTTACTGGTGTCAAGAGCCTTCATTGTTAGTGTCCTCAATCATCTCTAAAGATTTTCTTTTTTTTTTTTTTTTTTTACAGACCTAACCACCATAATGAATGCTGCATATTACAAGAAACCACAAGAAGTTTAAATGTTTGGTTGTCCAATATTCTTGGATTTGATATGAACCAACATAGTCTTTGTTGTCATTGACAGAACCCCAGTTTGTATGTACATTATTCATATTCCTCTCTGTTTTGTTGGGAAAAAAAGACATCTTAACCTTCTTTAAGGTTGTTGATTTAATTTCATGTTATTAGGTTGCATGATGTTGCCCTTAACCACTAAGAATTATCAAAATTTTTGCACAGACTCACACGTCTAGGATCCTTTTATCAAGGCAGTTGTGCTCATCATTTTTCTGCCTTTACCCCACCAACACCAAACACTTAATATTTTAAGTATTTAATATTAATTAGCATTTTTAGATGACCACATAATGTTTAAGGATGGGATTTACTCTTTGACAGAACCCAAGAACTAATTCCTAGATACATGATGTTGGTATATACTGGAAATAAAATTTAAGTCATCCTTCAGTTTTGAGGCCATGTGTAAAGTTCAACCATACTGTACAGTATCTGTTTGGTATTAGAAATAGCTAGTTGACAGCTTATACTTCTCAAAACTCATGTTGTCATGTACACAATTTGAGTTTCTATATGTGAAGTTAGTCTTTTTGTGCTGCTCCAAATTAAGGCAAGGATTCATTTTTTTTCCCAGTGCTAGTACAATTTGAGCTGATCACTCAAGATGTATACTTTACATTTTGAAGCTGAAACTTTACATTTTGAAGCTGAAATCAGCAGCAGCCCTATGGGAAACCAAACAAAGCATTGAATTTTAAATACAGACCTTTAAAATGAACTGTTTTCTCTTTGGCACTAGAATAGTTCATATTAATCCACAAACCATTATTATGTGTACATTATTGTTGCTATTGTGATAATAGAGAATTTTATTTATTTTTATGCCAGCTTATATTGTGAGCACACATTTAGTCAGTTTGAGTTTTATCAGTCCTGTTACGCTTGTCCTTGGAACATCTTTCCCATCTTCAAGGTTTGTAGTTCAAAAGTTTACTGTAAAAAAAAGTCAAAAACAAAAAAATGTATTGTTTTTACAGAATAAATTTATTGGAATGTGTACTGGGAGTAAGCTCTGAGGTTGTAAACAAAGTTAGTGTAACTTGGCTTTATATATGTAATTGTGAGGTATTAATGTAACTCGTATATTAAAGCAAAAACTATTTATTAACAGCAAGTTGACAACAGAGTCAAGTGCAGGTAAGGGCTTTCATTTTTATCTCCTCCCACCCCTCTTAATACTGGGGGTTCTATGTTATTTGGGAGCAAATGACAACACAATTTGCCTGCACATCTAGGAAAATACTTACTTAGTGAACCCTAAATTCACATATAGTTTATGTGTTGATTTGTACCGAATTTCCTTTTGGTTTCCTTATTTTGGTGAAGAACTAATGATCATGAAGAGAAAATCTGCGACGCTGATGCTGATGGTGGTGATGGCAGCTGAGGCTACACAAACTCTGATCCACACACATGCAGGGCAGTAAAAAGGAGCTGTGCTTTTGGTCTGTTTCTGTCATTTAGCAAATACTGATATATACTCATACAGTTTCAAATGAAAAGTTCATAAAGTAGTAAAGATGCCAATGGAGTACTTTTTCCTTAAAATGTATTTTTAAATTGTGCATATTTTATTTTAAAGTTATGAAATATTTAATTCAACAAAAGGCCTCTTTGTTGATCACACTAAAATATGAGACTAGGTTTTGATTTAGAAAGTATAACAGATTTTAACTAAAAAGCCAAGACCTATGAAAATATATATAAACTATTTCAAATGTGGTATAATATCTTTTCATAAAAGACCAAAAATAATTTTATTAAAAATATATGCAGAAATACAATAGAAACATTTCTAGCCACCAGCAAAACAAGTCTGTTGTGGGTAATGATAAAGTTAATTGATCTTGCTTGAGCTATTTAGGTTGACACAAAAAACTTGTAAAAGCATTTTTTAAAAACAGTAAATAATAAACTTCCCTTGGGAAGACATTTTTCAAACAGTTAAAAATATTCTGTTGATCTGCCTTTTAAATTGAGGTCGATTATGTGGCATATACAATCTTATATGCAAAAGTTATTTCTCCAACCTGTGATTGCTGTTTTTAATTTTTTATATGTATAGCACACATTCACTTCTGAGTAGTTTTTGTTTTCTGCTGTTATAGGTACTAAGTTACAATTTTTCACACTCACAATTATGTAATATGTACAAACAAAATCTTGAGATACATGGTCAGGTTTATTCACAGACAATTTTGATGTATTTCTTTATTTTTTTATTTTTTTATGTATTTCTTAAAACAAGCTGTTTCCCAAGTTTTCTGTCCATAAACAAAATTTACCCACACAGTACAGTATTACAGCTCACATGTACAGTGCAGAGCAAAAGTTTGTGTTTTCTTAAGTATCTGTATTTGAAAGGGAGTGAAATGGGAGAAAATAATCAGTACCAATATAACAAAAGTCAATAATCTAGAGAGAAAGAACATGATATAACATTTTTATTCCACTTTTTCATTTGACTTTGTTTTTATGAAGAACTCTGGTTTGTAGATACAACGATAGGCCAAGAGTTGAGGAAGAACTCCATATGCTACATTTAATGCTAAAAAAAGGATTTTCGCTTCTTCAGGGACTCTGTAGACATAAGCAGTTCTAGCATGGAGAGAAGCACCAATGTGAGAAAACTGAGCCTGTTTTATTGGGGGAAAAAAAGAGGGGGAAGAGTATAAGCATGAAATGGATTTCCAGCGGGACAGAGGGTGAGTTCTGGATGGCTATTTCAGACCCTTTCTGTGCCCTCAATCTCTCTGGAGTAACACCTTCAGATAACCCTAGTTTTTTTCTTTTTCTTTTTTTTTTTTCCTAGTACTGAGAATTAAACTCAGGACTTCATGCTTGCCAGGCAGGCACAGTGTCACTGAGCTATATCCCCAGCCTAGTGTTTAATGTGTTGTCTTTCATTACATCTAAGGCCAGTCTTGATCTGTCCAAATAAAGTATACTTTGTTTAGTGTAGTTATGTCAGTTCTGTTTTCTAACCCACCCAGTGCCCCATATCAAACATTAGTTGTTCAATTCAACAGAAAAAAATTTTTTTTCCTTATTTGGATTCTGTAGATCCTACAGAGAAACTCAGCTGTAGCTCACAAATTATTTTCCAATAAAAATTACAGAGTTTTTAAATCTAAAATATATTTAAAATAATACATTATTTAAGGAGAAGCACTGAGGAACTCGGCTTCATTTATCAGTCCTTCAGTTACTCCTTGGAGCAAGTGACTGAGCAAAACCCTTTCATTACCTATTTTTATTTATTCATGTATTTGTTTTTTATGCAACTTAAAAACTAAGGATTGTTTTGTATTATAAGATTAGAAGCAAGGTAGGGGTTAGGAATATGATTGCTATTTGTAAAATGGCAAATACAGGGGAAGACAGCCTTTTCAAATCAGATTGTAATTTATTTAGAAGTATGACTTGTCAGCTTAATCCAAGTTTGTAACACAGAAAGGAAAGGGCCTCCCTCTACATGTATACTTGTTCAAAACACACATTAGAATGTACCAGTTGGTCTTTTTTGATACTTTTCATAAGCACAGAGAACAACTTATTAAGAAAGCTAATGCCAGCCAGAGCAGGATTAAAAGCTTCTGAGAGAGGAGTTCCAGAGGAAGCTTGTATCATTACAAAATGCATCCCCTACATGTGCAATTCATGTTTGTTGAAATTCAAGATATACATGAACAAAAAAATTGGGAACCTGAATGTAGTAAATTAATAGTTCACCGAGGTCAAAGTGAAAAGATAAAAAGACTTGCCAGCTAGAGAACATACAGAAGTAACAAGGATGAATAATTTAACTATATTTAAGTTACCTTCCATTTCCTTCCATGTAAAATCGAATGATTCTGCTAAGTGATTAACTGATGTTACCACTTAACTTTGCCATGACAAAGAGCAAGCTTTTATAAGCAGCATGTTTATGAAATTTGTATCAATAGTGGATATTTTAATGGGCTACAATTTTACAAAGTACTGGTATATTCTGGATACCTCTGGTACATTTTTGCTATTTTCTGCAGATAGAATTTGGATTATTGTGGTGTGTTTCCAAGGACCAACAAATGGATTGTCTGCACTGAGAATTGTGCATACTCAGGGCTCTGCTCTCATACACACCTCCCCAGGGCAGATGCCAGACAACCCAGCCAATGGGTTTACATCTCGGGGCTGCAACCACAAAAGACCTTCAGAATAAAGGGCACTTTAGGGGGCTGCCCTGAGGAACTGTTGTGGACATTCTAGGAACTCTGAATAGGAGCTTGGCTCCTGTCACTGTTTTTCTGGAGGGCCTATTTTGGATGACTTTTTTCTGAATATATAACTAAACTTTTTCTTCTGGACTACAGGCCAGTTTTGAACCCTGGTTTCCAGAAATGTGGGTTTGGTGGCTTTATAGACACTTGTATACTTCACAGAATCAAATGATTTCAAGAACTGTCCACCATACTTTGAGAGAATAAATAACAAGCAGTTGTGCCTACTACCTGCATAGGGAAACCTCAAAATATCAGTGATTCCGTAGGCCCCTGACCTGCACTAACCGTGCAGTTAATACCTCATTTTCACAAACAGCAAACCCATGGCAACATTACAAATGGATTCATGTCCTTAGACTAGATTGTAAGCCCACTGGGCAGGTACTGTGTCTGATGTTTTGTGTGGCACCTATCACATTGTTACAGCTCAATAAACGTTCAACAACAGTGGTCTCGTGACTGTCCAAATACAAAGAAAGGATTGATAAAGAATTTTTGTATTTTTATACCTATTTTATTAAGCCATTCTGTTCAGAATTATTAAAGGAAAGGTGAAGATTTTAACATTCCTAACTAGAAGGGTCTGTTTGAGAGAAGAACCCTGAGCCCAGCTGTCTACATCCCTGCTGTAGCACATTCCCAGTGGGTGTGTCCACAGCAGCCACACCTCCTACATAAATGTTCCTCCCAAGGCCTATAGTGTGAGGTGTCCAGGCTTGGGAAGCTTAAGGAAAACCTGAGTCTCCCCTAAGGATGGTTCCCTTAAAAAAAAGCTGACAAGGACTGCAGAGACCCCTGGGTAGTGATGTCACCAGTATACAGGGCTCCTAACAGTGGTCTGAAGTGCTGGGCCTGGGTGTTGGGTGGGGCTTAGGTGGCAGAGTGAACTCAGGGCTGCAGAAGTTCTGAACCTCAGTAGTTTTCCAAATACAATGATGTAAAATTGATTCCCTAATCATTTTTCTTCTGTTGCATTAAAAATTTTTAACCGTAAACAAGAGATAAACTTTTAATAGCTCTCTATCTCCGAATGTATGAGTGGGGGCCAGGGAGATAGCTCAGTGGAACAAGTAACCTGCCTAACAAGTGAGGGTCCTGAGTTCAATCCCTGGTACCACCAAAAAAAAAAAAAAAAATGTATGAATGAAACAGAAATTAGGGCAATGAAGGTGAACAAAGACTACATTTTTTTGTCAATTTTTTTCTAAACAATGCCACCCTTTTTTCATCTTTTATTTATATATATGGTACAGGGTCTCACTACGCAACTTGGACTCATAGTGATCCTATTGTCTCAGCATCCTCAGTGCTGGGATTACAGGCATGCCAGCTCCATGTGCCCAGGGCAGGGCCAGCATGGTATATGGTACCTCGGATCAAACCCCAGTCCTTGCGCTTGCCAGGCAGGCATTTAGACCTCCGAGCTATCTTCCCAGCCCCAAAGATTACATTTTAATTAGCTGTCTATCTCCGATTTCATAGAGACAACCTGGAAAGGATGACTAAAAATCACAACCCTGGCTCTAAAAGGAAAAAGTGAGTTTTCTGTGTTCACATACATCTTTAAAAGCACAAAGTAACATGAACATTGGGGCAGTTGCCAGGCTGTTTGACCAGTATAGTATAATTGTTAATCCAGAACTATGCTTTCTTTTCTTAGGGTTTTCTGAGCAGCATAGTATAGTGAGTGGTTCAGAACACTAGCTGTGGAGCAGATGGCCAGAATCAGTTTCATCCCCAGCACAAACCAGCAAGATGGTCTCACATGAGGCATGTGACTGTCTGGCTGCCTCATCTGTAAAGTACAGATAATAATGAAGCCTGCCACATAGGTAGTTATGAGAGTTAAGTAAGTTGATATCTGTCACAGCATGTGCCAAGCACATGGGGCTATTTGTGTACGGACACAAAACAGCCAGAACACCTGTCCACAGCCTGGATTCTGCTTGGGTGAAAACCGGGGCTCTTTGTTTTTAGATATCTTTGTTGATCTTTTGACTGTTAGTGTCGCCATCAAAGGATAATAACCAGATAAAGATGTTAAATTCAAAGTCTAACTTAGTGAAGTGGATTTGCATTACTATTTCAATTATCCACGCTCTTAAGCCTTTCTTTCAGGTATTTCTAAAAGGTTTCCATGAAGGAAAAACATGAAATCCACTTACATTCAAGTCACCTCTGTACAACCAGCCTGTCCAAAGCCAATCTGCGACTTTTTTTGAAGAAGTTCATGGTACCTGCATGGTCAAGAGTGGCAGAGGCTGAGACCAGTAGATAGGACAGCACGTTCCCTGACTGAAGCGGAACTGATTCTGCTTTGATGGGTCAAATACAGCTGGGAGCCCTCTGTTCCTCCATAGCTTGCACCCACTTTCTTTGATACTTAGGTTTATCTATAATACGTATCACTTAAGTAAACTGTCTATAGGTTGATCATTCTCAGTAACAAGGAATCTCTCCTCTGAAGTCTTGCTGGGAACCTTATAAAATAACAATGAGGGTAACCAAGAGTTACCTACTGTATGCCAGGCCCTATTCTTGGCCCTGCACATGTCACCGCATGGAATGCCCACAGCAACACGATGAGAACAGTGCTACCACTGTTCTCACTTTACATAAGAAGACACTGATGATCTGAGAGGTAAAGTAGTCAGGGTCACTGAACTAATCAGTGGCAGGCTGGGGTTTGAATCACTCTAGATACTCTGGACCATACTGATAATACTCACTTTTAGTGACTTTTTATATATTTGGTACAGGGTCTCACTACACAGCTCAGACAGGTGATCGGAGCTGTTTTCCGCCTCTCTGGCGCTGAGATTATGGGCGGGCACCAGCACACCGGGTCTCATTGGCTAGCTCAGTGCGCCCAGGGGCGGGGCCAGCATGGCATGTGGTGCCAGGGAATCGAACCCCAGGCCCTGTGCTTGCTTAAGCAGGCGCTTAGCCCACGGAGCTATCTCACCAGCCCTTTAGTGACATTTTAAGGTGATACAATCATCTGCTGGTATCAGGAGTTTCCAGGACGCTCCCCACAATGCCAAAAGTCATGGCTATTTAAGTCCCTTTTATCGAGTGGCATATTTGCACACATCCTCTCACAAATGTTAAAACATCTCTAGATTATTCATAATGCCTAATATAATGGAAATGTTATGTAAATAGTATTGTTGAAGGGATAATGGCAAGAAAAAAAATCACATGTCCGCTACAGTTTTGGCCATCATAGGCCTAACAATATGTCTCGTCTCCCCTCCATTGAATCTGCACATAGTCCCAGACTACTTCAGCTGATGATAGAAAATGCTGGTAAGTGGATTGAAGAAGCCTATAACACTTTTCCAGTTAGGCTTCTGCCTTGAGTCCTGCTGTAAACACTGTATGAAGAGATAGCTGGTTATGAATATGTCCCAGTAGAATTCTGGTCTAAAAAGTATCCTGGCTTTATTTTGCTTTATTTCAGTTTTTCAATGATCTTTTCATTTTGAAGGTAGCAGTTTTGTCAGGTTTCTACACAGTCTGAAATCAAGGATTCTGTGAGTACCCAGTGTGTTCTCCTCCTAATCTTTGAGCTATCCTGATCTAGACTTTTCAAGGATCTTTTTTCTTACTAAATTGCATAGAAACTTGGGAGGTCACTAGATCTTTTAAGTAAAAGGTTTTGATTATGTCAGTAGGGTCATAAATGGATGCCTAAATTACATATAGTAATTTTAGCAAGCAAGGGATGTGGATAAGGTTCCAAAGAGTACTTTCCTGATGAATGTGTCAGATACCCTCCTAACAGGCTATTTCATAATATTTGCCAAGTACAAAACATCAAAGAACTCCAACATTCTGACTATATGCATTGTTATGTTGCAGTGTTGGGGGCAGTACTGGGGACTGAACCCAGGGGCTTAACCCTGAGCTACATCACCAGCTCGCTCACTTGCTCGCTTGCTTGTTTTCTGAATTTTGAAGCAGGGATTTCCTAAATTTCTTGTTCTGGGCTCAATTTGAAATCTTCTCCTGCCTCAGCCTCCCAGAGTGCTGGGATTACAGATGTGCCACCAGGACCAGCTTGTACACAATATCTAACTCTTCTTTAAGCTGAACACCATGGATAAGTAGATAGTAAAGCCCAGCCAAGAGCTATGGGGCTATCAATGGTTAATTTATGAATTATGCCACTCTTTACCTGCTTGGTTAAGAAACATCTCTCTAACATTTACAGGACCTGGGTTCAGCCTTAACCTCTGGGCACTCACCAGCAAGAGAGGGTCTTCAGGCCACTTTGTCAAAACAGCTAGTGGTAGATAAGCCCAAGAACTCCTTCAAGGCCTGCAGGCTGGCTGAAGCTGTTGCTGCTACATGCTGCCCACACTGCTTTTCCCAGAACCACCCAACGGGAATACCAAGTATCCATGTGCAAGATGAACTTCATCAACAGGTAGAGTCTGGGGTTGTGTTACTGCTGTAGACTGTAACATTCCTTTACCCCCAGGCTATGACCTTTCTACAGTCCTGGGCCATGTCCTGGCCACAGGGACTAAGCCTTTGTCTGGATTTTCCTGCCTAGTTCTCCATTTATCTCCAGAGATAGACCAGATCCCACATGGGGCCTCCTTTGCCAGCCTCCAGCAGAGGGCACTCACATCCTGCCTTGGGCTGGAGGGCCCCTTCAGAAGCAGAATAACAAGGACTGTTGGCTTGAACAGTCTGGCAAGAGAGGCGACTGTGCCCCTCCGTCCTGGTGGATAATGGAGGGGAACTAAGCCAAGAAAACCCAAGGCTTACCTTACCCCATCCCTGCTCTGCCAAATACTCCAGTACCTAAAGCTTCTGTTGCTCCCAGGAGACTCAGCCTCAGAAGGTCTGGCTCAGACTTGAGTAGCACCATGTTTACCCCAGAGCTTCGCCAGCTCCTTAGTACCCAAAGTCTGTCTGCTCTAGGACTCCATGCCACAGCTGTTTGCAGGGATGGGGAAGTAAGGGTGGAGACTGGGCTCTGCATCCAGACAGGATTTCTGCCATTCAGTAATTCTTGTCACTTTGGTCAAATAACTCCAGCTGTCCTGAGCTTCAGTTTCCTCATCTTCAAATGGTTATTTTAAAAAACCTACTGCAAATACTGTGCACTCACCACACTTTTGTGAGGCTCCCAAGACCACATTTACCTGCCTCCCGACAGCTAAGCTGTTGCCAGCCCTGGCCCTTGGGAATATCTGTCCCCCATGAGCTTCACACAAGCAAGAAATAAAAGCAGATGAGGTAGCTGTTAAATACTTGTCACGCAGCAGAGCACACAGCCTGCGCTTACAAACAGCTAAGTGAAATGCTGAGCAGGGTGTGTTCAGCAGGAAATAGCACCAAGAACAGGCTGGAGCTGCAGTAGTGGAGCTAGTAAAAGGGACGGGTTTGAGAACTGCCCTGGACACCTAACCTAGATCTAGTGGAGAGGTGGGCTGGATGAAGAGAGGAGGGGAAAGAGCTGTGCACATTCAGGGCTCACTCAGACTGCTTGATAACTGGAACTGTTTGCAGAGATGATGGCAACACAAAAGCTAGAGGGAAGAGTCCTATATTACTGTAAATGTGACCTGCTAGCAGGAAATCTTAACTGAAGCGATTAAGTCTAGAATTAAATATGGAAGTCTCAAGAGCAGTTTCAGCCAAAGAAATTAGAAGTGCTCAGCTGCTAACTGGTATAGAAAGATATGGAAATAAAGACTCACAAGAGTCTGAAGACTAGGGCATTTTGAGTTCTGCAAAGAAGGGTGTAAGTTGTAGTCATCCCCCAGAACAAGAATCATTTCTTCTGGATGCTGTGTCAGCTTTTCTAAAATAAATATTCTAGTTTTATAATAAACTACCTCAGGCCAGAAGCCCCCATAAATATTGTTAGCTTTTCAACGCTAAATTTAGTGTCTTTTTGCCCTCCTGGTTAGTATACCATGAATATATATTCAACTGTATATACCTGCTGTTTCTGAATGAATCTATTTCTTAAGCCTCCTTGAAAAAGCAAGTCAATGATATTTTTAAAGGATGAGTTCATTTGGCTTAAAAATTTTTTTTCAGTTAAGGATAAAAATGAATATCCTTTGTTCAGAAAATTTATTTATTTTGCTACTTATTCTCTTAAAAAATTTCTTTGTGTGATAATGGCTTAGATAATTTCATTTCTGCACTAACACTGTCCTTCATGAGACTGGGACTTGGGGAAGGAATGACTGACAGGCCCAGCTTTCCAGGAGTAGAACCTGTTTAAACCACTTTGCCTAGTTGATGTATAGCAGAATCTTGAAACCTTAAATTTAGATAGACATCTTGAAAATAACAGCTTGCCAGCCTTTTTCAGAAAACATGATGCTCAAAGATTGGGAATGAGCCCTACAAAACAAGTGCCACTTGCTGGGTATATGTCCTTGGGCAAAGCATTTAATATAGCTTCACCTCAGCTTCTAACTAGACAGTACATCTTTCAAATAGTTATTATGAGGTTTAAATAGAATATATATGCAGAAACATCTTGTAAAGAGCTGTAAAACAAAGGACAGTATGTCTCATAACTATTGCCTATTCTACAACACTGAGCAGATAGTTTTCATATATCCATCAATGAGCACTAAATCAGTAAACTCGCAAAATAGCACGTTAGTACCTGAGCTAGACCTCCAGCATGTATCAGTGTTATGTCAGGCATCCAGGAGCATCCGGGAACCACTAGGCCATAAAGCGCAATCACAAAGTAAGGAACAGAATAGAACATATATGCCAGCATCTGCATTGAACAGAAAAACAACATCAGCAAATTAACAGCACAGCCTGAATAAAAAGTAGAAAAAATTAACATCTTCAAAGATAAAATGTCCGTTGCTATTCCCTGAATAGGATCACCTCTAGCCATTACAGAGATAATTAACTTTAGGGAAAAAAATCTTAAGCTTCATACTACTTGACCTGAATTTTAGGATAAGCAGCAGGATCCTTTAGGTAGGGCTCTTGAAATTGTGTATACAATCGGCAGAGCTCAGCTGGGCAGTCCAAAGCAATCTAAGAGCAAAAATGAATTGTTAAACAAATACAATCACTCTGGTCCTTACATTTGCTGATAAGGCTAAATGTGCCAGGTTTAGTCATAAGCTGCTTTGCTATTTAACAAAAACTATGCACTGTAGAGGCTTATCAGGGAAAGGAAATATTCCGCAAACTTATCTAAGGAGATTAAGGAGAGGTTAATAGTGGAGCCGGAAATGGAAACTATAGCTCTATTCTTGGGTTTCAAGTATTCATAGTTCAAGTATCTAGGTTTGGCTAGACTAGCCAAAGGACAGTTTGCTTTAGATTACCAGTTTCACTTGTGAGAACAACTAGCCAACTAGTCCCTACAAGAAAGAAAACACATGTCTACACCAAATTAATCTTACTATGCTTTGCAAGATTCAAAATAGCATCTTCCTCTCCAGTACCTCACAGAGTATGTGGCCTTTAGAGGCAGTAAAGGACAACAGTTTGAAAGCAGGGTCCTGTTGTCTGAAGCCACCTCCTGTGTCCTCTTTGAAGGACAGCAGAGCAGATGTAGTCTCAACAGAGTAGATAGGCCACAGAATAGACAGGTGTCTCTTTGGCACATTACAGGGTCCCCTCTCAGTCATCTTCCCCCACAGGCACTGTTCCTCCTATCCTTGGCCATAAGTGAAATGTTGTCCCTCCTGGGTTACAGGTAGGACACAGGCCAGTGGCAGAGTTGCTAAAAATGGAGCACAGCCCCAAAGCCCCACCAACTATGCACACATACATTTTCTTCAAGTGCAAGGAAGGTTCTTATCATGCAGGGGTATAATTGGGTCTCACTGTTCACTGTTCTATGAAATTTCAGAATTATAGCAAACTAACCAGACACCAGTGTCAGGGATCCAAACAAGGCCTACAGCCCTGCCTTGCCTTTGTTCCTCTTAACCAACTCTTCCAGGAAGAGTGATGCACAGAGGCGGTTCAGACAGCTTCTCACCCTGAACCCCAATGGACCACACAGGCCTGTTGCTGCCCAGGGACCCCAAAGTAATGAATTAGCTCAATCACCTTATACTTGGCACTCTGTTCCCCAAGTGTGGTGCAACACTAGCTAGCACTCAGAATAGTAACCATGTCACCGTATCTGAATAGAATTAGCCAAATAATTCTGAGCTACTTAAATTTATTTCTGCTAAGAATAAGTCCTGAAACTGGGGTAAAATAAAGGCTGAGTGATCAATCAAAATAGTAAAAGTAATCATTTATTGAGCACTTTTAATGTATAAGGTTCTCTACCAAGACTTATGTGCTCTGTCTTACTTAATCCTCAAAACAACTCAGTAAGATAGGTAGTATTAGAGAGGGCAAAATTATAGGTCAAGAAATTAACTTTTTCCAAGGCCACACACTAGTACATACATAGGAATCCAACTCCAAAGCTTAGAGGCCTCTTCCTTATCCTGCACGCTACATAGATAAAGAGAGCACAGAAAAATAAAATGTCCAGGTTCCCTTAATGTTTATCAGTTGTATCAATACAAAGACTCCAAACCTCAGCTTAATGTAGTTCACACTACTCGTGCCACTGATAAACTCAGCGCCCTGCATGTACAAGCATTATTGGTTTGGTGCCTCTTCCTGGCTCTCGTAGCCCCCAGTCTGTGAGAACACATTGGTGCTCTGAGCATCACCCAGGCCAGCGATCTTTACTTAAATCAGAAACATCAGAAGAAGAAATTCTAACAGCTATTTTTCAGGTATCCTAAAATAAAGGAAGATATTTCTGAATAGAGCTTGAGCCAAGGACTTGAAGGAAGCGATAGGAAAGAACCCAGAAAGAGCCACCCCTCGGGGACAGAGGGTTGAGATAGGAGAGCATCGGGAGGCCGATCCAAGGCTCTAGTCTTTAATGGGAAAGGGATAGTTTGTTAGTCTGAAAAAAACAAAAACCTATTTCTATGTTTTGTCCATTTGGAAGTATCAGTATATAATAATGGTATTTGTATTTGTTTGTTTTCTGTTTCCCAGGCTGGTTTTGAACTCCTGAACTCAAGGGATACTCCTGCCTCAGCATCCTAAATAGGTACAGCTATAGGCATGCGTCACCATGGCTGGTTCATGTTAGTTTGATCTGTTATGCTTACCAAGCCTCTAAACAGGCAAAATCCAGTGGCCAGTAGGAGACATGTGACTAGCATTAGGTCACATGGTCTTCTCAGCAGGTCTTTTGCTTGCGCTTCTTGGACAACCTAAAATAGAGTTTGTAGCTAAAGAGCAAGTCCAGAGTGCCAAAGAAGAACCTGAAAGCTACTGACACCCTGAATGCTGTAATGATGAACAAGAAGATTCTTACGATCACAATTCATATCCTAAGGCACGAGATTTTGAGGACAGTCATTTGCCCCTGAACACCTGATTTCCTCTTTTGTGAAATGGTGACATTGGACCAGGCAGTTCTGAAGGACATTTCTAACTGAGTCCACATTTCTTTCTTACAATAACATTTTCATGATTACAAAGGTAAGATAAACTCATTTAAAAAACAAGAATGCTTTAAAAATACACCATAATCCTGCCTCATCACTATTAATAGGTGATATACTTTTCTAGTCATGCATATTATAATATATATATATATATATATATATATATATAGTGTTCTGTACAAAGTTAGAAATAAACATTCTGTATTCTTTATCACTCAGCCACTACTTATATGATAAGCACTGTGTAACATTATTAAAAATTCTGAAACAATACTGTGTGGAAGCACCATGTTTTGCTGTTCTCCCACTGTGGAGATTTAGGCATTTTTCAGTCAACCATCAGTGGAAAGGGAAGCAATTTTGTCTATAAATCTCTGACAGCATCTTTCCACTTGGGCCCTACATGTGGAATTATTAGGTGAAAGGTAAAATTTTGCAAGGCTGACAGCACTGCTAAGTTGCTTTGTAGGGCAATTCTGAATTTGTGTTCCTGTCAGCCCTGTGTGACAGTGTTCCTGTCCTGTCACTGTGTTTCACAGTTGAAATACTAACAAATGGCTGTGTGTTACATGATGTGAACACCGTGGGCACATGGAAACACAGGATCCAGGGCTAAAGCTAGCCCTACTGTTTGCTTTTTTACTTAACAACTTCATTCTTCAAAGAAATGAAAAAGTGTATCATTCATCCGTGTGCCAGCCTAAGTTTACACTGTGGGTGTCTAAAGGCCCACAGGTGAAGTATGTGGACATTACAGTGGATCTGAGGGCTGGGGTCTATGCAGCTCAGGGACAGAGTGAATAAACAGCATGGAGGAGGCCCTAGGTTCAGTCCCTAGTACTATGAAAAGGAATTTTAATGAATTCTATTATAAATATTTTGTGAAATAAATAATTGTGTTCTAATTAAGAGTTTATATGTTTATGTCAATTTTGCTTAAAAGATCTTGCCTAAGGACTTAATACTCATAAGTGGAAGAGAAACTTAGAAAGATGTCACCAGTTTAGAAATGAAGATTTTAACAGAGTACCTGCCAGGCCAGGGTTGTTTCACCTTGACCACCTTGGTAGTGAATGGAAGGAGTTGTCACAAATGAATACAGTGTCTGAAGCCGTCTGCAGGTGCCTGGATCTCTTGTGAATCAGACCCTACAGCTATGTGAACTACACTGAACAGCAGTAGCTCTCCAACCTCCTCCCAGAAGAGCAATAAGTGAACAGGTGCTTTGGTACTATATAAAGAGGTCTCAGATGCTCAAAATCCAGTTCATTTGCAACCCCAGACAAACCATACAATCCAGACTTCTGTTCCCACGCAAAAACACGGTGCTAGAAGCGGTTGTGACCATTGGCACAGGAATTGTCAAAAGTATGGCTGGGCCAATCAAATCAGACATATTGGGGCAGAGGCAGGCCACCTTGGCCAACATTAACTGAGATGTCAGTGAACATCACACAAGCACACTGAGTGCCCTAGATGCTCCAGTCCTCAGAGGCACAGTTCAGGGGCCTGTGCACAAGCATGAACCCTGTGAAGTTAAACAGGTTACACTTCAACTTAGGAAAAATCACCTTGGCAGGGTAATTATAATTTTCTGTTGGCTGATTATAGATTCTGAAACCTGCCCAGACAGGGAGACAAGTATACGGTATGCTTAAGAAAAAAGCAGGGCATATTCGTGTTCCATATTTCCCTGTTTAAAAGAGAAAAAAACAAAAAGTCAAAGGTTTACCTAAAGCATATCTAAACATAGTATTTAGCATACCTCCCCATCTCAAATCATGTAAAATTTTGCAAAACATCAGATAATATTTTAATGAGATAAATTATTAAAGACAATTAGATGTTTATTAACAGGCATGTCCCATGTATAATATTAAAAAATACATCCAATTTCCTAATTTGTTGAATACATAAATAACCTCTCTCTTTAGGACTTCAAGAGTCTTAATTTCCAAGCACACTTATCAAATTCTCATAGCAGGTCAGGAGTAATATGTAACAAAGTGTTATAAGAAGTATCTGCCACTAAATATAACAAATCCCATAATCAGGCTCTAGATCCTTCCAAAAAGTTAGGAATCAGTGATACTTGACAAAATATGAATGTACATTATTGACAATTCTTCAGAAGCACTTAGAGGCAAGATTGTGGAGAATAGGTGTGATCTGCATAATGAGTTTTTGTAAGCTGGGAATCTCTTGGTTTTACTATAACCAAAACAAACTTCTTTAAGGAAATCCCTATTATTACAGAAAAGGAAAGTGAAATTTTTTAGGGAAAGTGAATTCTAAGATAAAGTTTCTTACCTACAATGTTTCCAGGCACAAAAACAACAATGCTCATGATAATGGATCCAACCCAGTACAGGCCAATGCTTCTGTAGCTTTCCCTGTAACAAGAAGAATCTTGACATGTTCACTTCTCTCAGAATAGTATTAGCAAAAGATCCTCGATACTATTTTTATTCTCATTAGTAAATCTTCTCAGCCTTTTGGCTAAGATCAAGTGTAATTAATAAATTACGTGAGTTGAAGCATGAAAAAAGCAATAGATCAAGGAACGCTAGTGATCAAACCTCATTTTCTCACTTAATATTTCATAGAACCTTTTTTGTCTGAACAGGAATTCATACTTGCTATGCTGACCTACAGCTAAACTATAACATGTTCTTCCTGGGCAGACATCTGCATTTCTCTACTGTGTATTAAGCTCAAAGCATGAAAGAGTAGAGAAAGGTTCGAAGAAGGGCGCTGGATCCATACTCTATTGTAAGGATGACAGTATTATATAATCCAGAGAGTGAGAGATGCTAGGGATCAGACTCAGGGCCTTGTGCATGCAGGGCAAGAGCTCTACCACTCTTCTATCCCCAGCCCAACAACAGCATATAAAATGGATTTTGGCCAAAAATTTTGGACAAAACGTCAAAGGTGGAGGTAATACCTGACACATATCCCAAGTTCTGGAGCAGCTGCTAGACATTATGACAGAATGCTGCTTCAACTGATAACCCAATAACTCAACTCCATGCTAAATAAGAGGCTAGGAGAAGTACAGAAGGAGATTCTGTAGGGAGAAACAGAAGGAGAGAACACTGCTTCCTTCTGCATCCCAGCCCCCAAGCCAGTGAGACTAAACTCACACAGATGGTCACAAAGACATGGATTGCCAGCAGGAGCACAGACTAGAGCTAGCTAGAGCTGTCCTCGATTGCATGATGAGTAGAAAGGGGGAAAAGCACATGAGGCTGTGTAAGCCTTGTATGGAACACAAATGTGTGACTGTCTAAGCGGGACCCAAGTGGAGGCCTGAAAACTGGCTGAACTTGAGCCACCCTGGAGAATCCCTTCCCATAGAAGGCACTCGCTGGGATATAGTAAGACATGGTGGACAGACCACCAACAGTGCAAGAGTCACAAATCCAGCCAGAGAGTGTTGCTCACTTAGGTACAGGTGCCCTGCAAAGGTTCCTGCTATAAGGGTGTCCAGAGTGCCTATAAGACCCAGCTAACATTTCAGGACAGAAAGTCCTAGTACCCAGAAAATAGCTATCACATACAACTTCCCCTCTTCCTTTAATCCTGTGGACACACATTCCCATAGGAGCCAGACATAAAGGTGAAAAGGAGTAGGGAAAGTGGGTGCAGACACCCAAGAGTGAGGCTACATCTGAGCTGGGGATCAAGCTCTGAACTGAAATGAGGTGGTTGAAGTTTTGACTCGGAATATGTGAAGCTGGGGCTGGGGAGATAGCTTGGACGTCTAAGCACATGCCTTGTAAGCGCAAGGACCTGGATTCAATCCCCAGTACCACATGCTGGGCGACCAAAACCGGGTGTATCAGTGAGAGTCCTCGCTGCATAGCGGGACTGTGCACCAAATAAATGAATGAATAATTTTTTAAAAAATTAGGAAGAAAATGTGAGGCTTTATACCCTGAAAATTAAACAACTGTTCTTAGAAGGAATATAATCAGAAAACATAGGGGTCAGTCTATCTGAGCTGTCACCACAGTTGGGGAACAATCCAGGGACAAATTCAAAAAGGTAGTGGGGCAAGGAAATAAAGCACACCGAACTTGTACCTCTGGCACTTAACATTCTTGTCTGCTCTACCTGTTTGCTTCTTTCTGTATTCGGGTTCTTATATACTCACTTATCAATGGCAAAGACACACACCCCAGATGAGTTGACTTACTCCCATGCTATAGCTGCCACCATCACTAGGTACATCAGATAATGAGCAGAGCCATCCCAGTAGCAGATCATGTGCCCGTAAGCAGTGTTCAGATAGGGTTCACCCTAAGAAAAGCATTAAAAAAGTCCACTTTAAATAAGATACATTTAAATGCCAAACACCAGAACTGTACTCCAAATAGAATTAAGACAGCAGAACTATTTGGTGTTCATCTGCTAAGATGAAACTATTCCAACCTGTTAGGAAAGTGCAAATAGAACTTTACCCAGGAGCTGCCAAAACCAGCATCTGCCACAGGGTTCAAACCAGAGAACCCCTGTTCAGCTGGCCTGTGATAGAGCGAAACACAGGATCATACTGTGACACAGAGAAAGCAGTATGGGTGATCCTGGCTGGAGGGCCAACTCACTGGCACCAAGCCACTGTGAATGGAGGAGCTTGGCCATAGCCAGACGGGTAGCCAGGAAAGACCCTGCTCCATGGCTGGACGTAACCATGCGCGCTGACCCCACATACATGGGGAGGGCTGGCTGGGTCGGCAAGGGGAGGCACTAGTGCCTTTCTTACATGAGCACATATGGCACTGGACTTAAGAGAGTCCCACAGCCTTCCCAACAACTCTGTGTGGTAGATGTGACATGGAGACGAAGAAATGGGCCCCAAAAGGTTACAAGATTTGCCTAAGGTCACATAGCCAATACGTGGCAAAAGCACCAAGAAAAGCTATACTTTTCTTGAATTTTATTCTCATGAATTTTACAAACACAAATTATATGATGAACTATATTTTCCTTTTCCAAGTGGTTGTGTTTCCAGATGGCTGTTAGAAAATCACTCTCGAGCGTGCCTGAGTTTTTGGTCTTGCCCTGCCTGTGCTTGGCCTTCCGCTCCTCTTTCTCCTGGGTGCTCACCTGCCTGGCCCTGCTCATCCTCCTAGCATTGCACCCTTTCTTCAACAAGGAAGCATGCAGATCAAGTAGCCAACCAAGCCAGGCGTTCTCAGAAGCTTCCTGCTCCCCTGGGGCAAGCACTGCTTTATCATCTCTCCGCATGAGTCAAATCCAATTAAAATCACAGCAGAAGGCGATACACCACCAAAACTATTATTCTGTCCATGTGGGGCTCACCCTGTTTCTCCCTGGCATGCTCTGCCTGGATGATGCCATCTGATTTCATGTTCCAGTTATCTGAGCCACACAGCTGAGCGCTCGACCAGCACTGGGCTCTCCTAGCAGCTGATGGTGTCATTAACTAGAGGTCCTTGGGCCTTGCAAATGCACCTGAACCTCAACTCATCAGCTTCTTCCTCATCCAACATGCCTCCCTATTTGGATGGCATTGCCACTCAGCTTACCCTGAGGAAGCCACAGAGTCATTATTTTATTCCTTCCTTTTTTGGACAGTCTTGAAAATCCTGTTAATTTCCTCTGCGATGCCACTCCCAGAGGACCCTCCCTCTTTAGCATGGCCTAGGTCAAACCTCAGCCTGGACCACTGTTACGTTCCCAGTGGTCGGTCTCCCTGCCTTTCTCCTTCCCACCCACAACACTTCTGCTGCCAGATGAATATTCACATGGTCCGACTCTGGCCCTGTCACTCCTCTGATCTAACACCACCACAGCTAGTCACTGCCTGAAGGACCAGGCCCCACTTCTCCAGTTACTGGGTCCCCCACTTGGGCTTCCCGAGCTTGCTGTTGTTACACTCCGGTTCTTCCCCATCTGCCCCAGTAGCTGCCGCCCTCTTCCCTGGTGCCTCTTTCCTCATGCACTGTGCCCCACTCTTCTTGTGCCTCCTTGCCTGCACCCCAATGTCCACTTCAGACTCCCTGGTGCCCACCTCTGGTCCCAGCATCCAGAGTGCCAGCCTCAGCCTTTCTGCTCTCCATCATCTCCTCTGGCATCTCAGACTGCTGGTACCAACTGTAGTCATGTGGCCTCCAAACCTCCCTGCCAGGACTGTTCCTCAATACCTGTAAAGCCCTGCCAGCAGGAACATGTGACAGGATGTCCCTCAAGCATCTGAAATACCACATGTCCCCAAATGAACTGAGTATCATCTCTGCAAACCTGCACCCAGGCATTCTTCTCACCAAGCCGCTACTCAAGCTGTCCCTTCTGTTCAGAATGCCTTCCACATCCACATTCCAGCCAAAAACGGCAGCCACACTCCTTGGTGGCCACATTTACAGTGCTATAGCAGGGCCCCCAGCTCTAAAGGCCTTCTCCAGATGTCGCCAGAGTTGACTGTGCTGTGCCTGCAGGGAGCCTCTGTCACTGCATCTAGGCCAGTGCTGGGTCCCCCAATGAAGGACAGGAAGCAGGTCCCGCAATTCCACAGTCTCCTGCAGCAAATGTCTACAGAACTGGCATCCTCCTTGCTTCCCTCACTGGTGGAGTAACACCAGCTTTCTTCCTAATTCCAACACAAGAGTCAGGAAGTCATCTTGGGCCTGACCCCTCCAGTCATCCCCAGCATGTCCCAACTCCTACGACTACCTGGATTCTCTGAAATTCACCCCCCTCTTTTCAGGTGCTGCCCTTTTCCAGCCACTGTCACACCAGGCTGGCCTGCAGAAGCCTCTTCCTTGAGTCCTAGCTCATAACAAGGACCCTTCCCCTCCAGCCCTTCCCCCCAGAGCTGTGTCTCCTTCCCCAGTTTAACATTTCCCCTCACATACAGGATGACATCCAACCTCCCACGATCTGAAATGTGCCTGAAAACTACATTTTCAACTCTGTTCCTGACTTCCTGTGACCATAAGTAAGTCACTTTACTTTCTGCAGCTGGATTCAGAAAATAAGAAAACAAGTCCAGTTCCTTCCAGTACCATGATTTGGCTGGGAGTTAACCATCATAATCAAATTGTTTAATTACCTCAGTGTTTGGTATCTCACAGATTTAAGAGTAATTTGGGCTCTCTGAGATTTCAATGTATTAGCAGATGTGCACATTTAAAGGGACATAGAGGCCACAAGGTGGGGCAGGCGTGAGGGAGGAGTTATGAGAGCAGATTTGCCTCTCACCATCACGTCCTGCCCTTGTGCTTTATCGTCACTGAGCAACCAGCCTGAGCCCACACTAAGAAACAAACCTGCTCTCGGAACAGAGGACTGAAGACCAGGCCAGATTGCAGCCTGCCAGAGAGCACCTTGTTACCCCCAGGCAGCACCGTACCTCTCTCAGGTAGTGGGTCATGAAGCCATCAATGATGCCATCTTGTTCCAGCCCTATGATGAGGTTCACCACACTGGTAAATCCGAAGACGGCATACACTGAAGCAGAAAAGACTGCAGTTTAGAATGTGGTCCTCAGGAGGCACTCGAGCTGGCACTCAGCAACAAGAGTGGGATGCTTCTGGTACTGTGGGTGTTGCCAGCACACACTAGCAGGCCATACCTCCTGCACTTCCAGCCAGGTCTCTGCCTGTCCTCCTGGTCTCCCCATCCCTGCCCAAGAGCTCTCACTGAGGAAATATGAGTCGCAGAGATAGAGGTCAACAGGGTCACTGCTGACCATCCCAGCACGTTCTACAGGCCACACCCTCTAGCCTCTACTCCTTCAAGCTTAATGCCAAAGCCACATCCCACCTGGGCAGCAGGAATAAAGCCAGTCACCAAATAGCTAAAGAAGCACATAGTGACTACCAGCTTTAAAAGACTACCTAAGGACGGGGGGACAATTCAGCAGCTTAAGCACCTGCCTGGCAAGTACAAGGTCATGAGTTCAAACCTGGTAGCAAAAAAAAAAAAGATTTCAAGAATAAAAAAAAAAAGATTATATAAATGTAAGTGTGATGTTGTACAACTGTAATCCCAGCACTCTGGGTGGCTGAGACAAGAGGATCATCAAATTTAAACCAAGGCCAGGTAACTCAGTGAGACATACTCTCCAAAAAATAAAGGAAGCATTTTCAAGTTACAACAAACTGATGTCATAGGCCAGGGGATGGATGAGGAGAAAGGCCTGCTGGTGGATACAGACAAAGCTGTACAAAAGGAGAGCAGGGAGGGTGATTTATAGGGAAGGGAAGCTGGCCTCGAGCAGAGTAAAATACACCTGAGTTCCATCCCCAGTACTGAAAAATAATAATAAGGATGAAGGGGCCAGGGAGGTGGCTCAGTAGATTAAGCTCTTGCCTGGCAAGCGCAAGGTCCTAAATTCAATCCCTGGAACTGCCAAAAAATAATGATAAGGATGAGGATGATTTATCTTGGTGATGAGCGTGCAGGCCAACTCACAGTGTGTCTGTCCTGTTGGCCTGTTCCACACATATGCAGATACACTGATACCTTGGTTTCATGAATGCTTTTGTTTGTAAGTAATTTGATTTGCAAACGAAAACATTTGGCAAAGGGCTGGCAAGATAGCTCCGTGGTCAAAAAAAAACATTTGGCAAAATTTTGGGTTTGTCTGCAAACTCTACTTTGGGTGACAAAGACTACCTGGGCCATCATTCCTGAACAAACATGAATGACAATCTTTAGCAAAATCGTGGAACAAGTTAAGTTTGTGAACTGAGATACCACTACAATTGGTGTTCAAATGAGAGTGGATTTAAGAAAATGTACCAATGATTTCAAGAACTAAATATGTGTAAGATAGGGCACTCAACTATGAGAGAAGAAACACTGGCAGTCTCCTAAACAATTACTCGCTCACAATTACTCGAATTAACTGGCTAAGGAACAGCCCCCTTTAAACAGTGGGAGACCAAATTCAGCCCAAAGGACTCACCAAAAAAGTTGCATTTTCAAGTTGCAACAAACTGGTGTCTTAGGCCAGGGGATGGGTGAGGAGAAAGGTCGGCTGGTGGATACAGGCAAAGCTGTGCAAAAGGAGAGCAGGGAGGGTGATTTACAGGGAAGGGAAGCTGGCCTCGAGCAGAGGGTGTGGCCAGAGTCCCATGTCCCCATATCTGCCTGAAGGATGGAAGGCCATATGTGCCCTGCCCCGTAGCCTGTACCCTCCCTGTGTCTCTGTGAAGGCCCACAGCCCAGTTCTCAGCAGTGTCCCGGTTGGACACACTTCTTAGAGGCTTCCCAGATGGCTATCCCTTCTCCTGAGTCAGGGCATGGGTCAGCATATGTCTCAGCTCTGCAATGATAACAGTGGGGTCAGCTTCCTAATGTGCAGGAGCTGCTGGTGACCTGACCATGAGGCTACAATATGTTCAAAGCCAGAATAGAGCCAGGACAAAGGGTGGCAGGGGCAGAAGAATAGCTGCCTGGAGGAGCGGAAGAGACCACTGCTCTGCTTGGGGACAGATTGCAGAGACAGGACAGACAGAAGCAGGGGGACAGTTTGGTAAGGTAGGCTAGGGCCACTGAGCAAGGGAAATGGGACAAGAAAAATGACAAGGGTTCTGAGTTCACACAGTCCTAGCTCTTCTACCAACCAACAGTAAAACCCAGGGCAAGTTCTCTTTAAGTTCCAGAGTTTGTTATATGAGAACTGAGAAAAGCTAAGCTCTCACAATCCTCCTTTGCCACCCCAAGGCTCCCCGTGCCTCTAACAAGGGGGTGGCCCAGTGACTCTGGCCAGCAGAATATGGGCAGAAATCTGTGATCCCAGCACTCTGGGGGGCTCTGAATCTAATCTGGGCAGTTTAACAACTTAGCAAGACCCTGTCTCAAAATAAAAATAAAAAAGGACTGGGGGTAGAGCTCAGTGTAAAGGCCCTTGGGTTCCATCTCCAGTACTGGGAGAAAAGTGTGGGTGGAAGGGACAGTGGCCAGCTGCAAGCCAAAGCCATCAGGGATGGAGCTTTCTTCCCACTGACCCTTTGGTACTCCATATCCCCATGAGGCACACAGCACCCAAGAGCAAGGACCCATGTGGACAGTTCCACTGTCACCCACGGCCTGCAGCAGAGAGGCCCAGCTCCTCCCCCTACCTGTGAGCAAGAAAAACAAACCTCTGTGCCTGCACAGGTTTGGGGGGTGTTTGACATTAGCATTACTGACATTAGAAACTAAACGAATAAAATGCACAGCTGAGCACCAGCACAGGAAGCCTCTGAGCCTGGTAACTGCTTTGCCCAAAGCACACACGGTAGAGGCCTAGGCTTTGGGTCTATACCATTCTCACCAGCTGTGTGACTTGACCACAGCTCCTAACATATTAGCTAGTGTCTCCATTTTTTTGTGACAAATTGCCAACATGCTCAGGGCCTTACCAGGTACACTGTAGGTGCTCAATCATCATGTTTTTATTTATTTAACACATATGTGTATTTGCCAGGACCTGACCTAAGTACTTTACAAATACTATCTTATTTAATGTTTGTGCCAAGCCCAAACATAGGTGGGATTATTTCCCTCTCTGTACAAACATGCAGGCTTCCACGCCATACCAGGTAGAGGGACTGCCTGTTCCAGGCTGAGGGCAGGAGGTAGAGGTAAGAGCAACTTCGTGTTAAGGAATGGAGGAAGAGGCCTGCCTACCCTGGCAGTGCCCCCTCCACCGGGATCCCCAGAAAAAGGGGTCTCTGGCTTAGAGACAGTGATGGCGAACCTTTTAGTTTTTGGTGATACAAAGAGCCCACTGAGGGCCAGGGTGCCCCCAGGGCACGCTGAGCCAGTGATTCAGACTGAGCATGGTGGCACATGCTTGTAATCCCAGCACTTGGGAGGCTGAAAACAGCAGAATCACTGAGTCCATCTATGTATTGAGACCCTGTAGAACCTGTAGACCCTGTCCTAAATACATTTTAAAAAAAAAAAAAAGAGCCCACTGAGGCACACATGCCATAGGTTCGCCATCACTAGCTCAGAGGCAAGAACTACAATGTCCTCAGACATCCCCTCCCTTTCACTTAAAACTATTCACCACTAAGAAGGAAAACAGGACTGAGGGCAAGTTCCTTGTTACCAAGCGGACATACGGGGTTTCCCCAGAGGAGACCTACCATAGAATAGCGGGTCCCGAGGTGGCTTCCTTTTGACAAGAACTCGAGCCAACAGGGCTACCAGGAGCAGAATGAGGGCAGCAACTCCTACGATTGTCCAGGAACTGCAAAGACCAGAACAGGGAGGTGGTCACTTAGCAAAACAAACACAATGGTGCCTGGAATTTCCTGACATTGAATGCATTTGTTCTTAGCACTGCACAGCTCAGACGTACTCTTGCTCCGCCATAGCTCAGGCACTGAGAATCAATGAAGCTTGTCTATAGCACTAGGGCCTCTCTGGACACAGCACTGTGACTTTCAGAGGCCAGAGCCCCAGGTCCTCATCTCCTCTTCTGTCCACCTGCGTCCTGTGCACAGATGAGATGTCGGAGGTGCCTTGGCCTCACCCCAGCCTGCTCCTGAGATGTCCTGCCCACTGCCTCTACCTTTCTACCTACCTGACTTGTTCCCCTTGGCAGCTGACAGGTCTAACCATAGAACCTCCCACATCCCTGCCCTCAGACTGAGCTGCAGGGCACCTGCAAGAATTTCACACCTTCCTGGGGGACAAGGTGTGTTCTGCATCTCTGTGGCAGGCAGCACTGCAGATCCTCAGAATATGGAATGCACAAGGAGGCCCCAGCACTCATGCAGGGACTTACCTCCATGGGACCTGAGCTCTGCCAGCCACAAGATCACCTCCAGTCCCACAGAGCTGATCTCCTCTCACACATTCAGCACTGACAGGGCTTCCAGTTCTAGACGGGAGCTCTGACCCACTCCAATGGCCTGCTGCACCAGAACCTCTTCCCACCCCCTTAGAGCTGCTGAAATCACCACTGGAACCCCCTCCATACCACCTCCACCCTCTGTCCTGGCTCTGCTCTAGCTCCAAACACACTACAGCCTCACAGTCTGGTACCCAGCCAGCTCCAACCCACTGGGAAGCCTGTTCCTGGGGCTTTTGGGTGACCTTTGCATATGTCCCTGGGAAAGAATGACAAGGGATGGATGGATGGATGGATGGATGGATGGATGGATGGATGGATGGATGATCAAGGTAAATGGATGGATGGACAATGAGTAAAGGGATGTTGAGATAGATGATGGATGGATGGGCTGACATTGATGGATGCTGGATGGGTGGATAATGAGTAAATGGATGGATGGGGTGACCACCTGATGGATAATGGAACAACTCTACAGTAAGAAAGAGCATGGCTGTGTCAGTATGCAGGAGAGAAACCCAGGAGGCTTCTGGTAGTGCACAATAAAGATGCTTCAGGCCTCTCCCCAAGAGATGAGCTCATACATTCTTCTTTTCTTTTTTTTCTTTTCTTTCTCTTTTTTTCCTGTATTTTAGGGAAGGGTCTACAGGGTGTTCAGGGTCTTACTACTAGATTGGACTTGTAGTGATCTGCCTGTTTACAGCCTCCCAAGAGCTGGGATTACAGGCGTGCACCACCACACCCAGTCTCAATTGCCATCTCAGTGTGCCCCACAGTGGGGCCAACATGGCAGGCCTGGGGATTGAACCCCAGCCCCTGTACCTGCTTGTAGGTGCTTTAATCCACTGAGTTATTTGGCTGGCCCGAGACGAACTGATACAGGAAGAAGCTGATGTGAGCCAAGGCCATGGCACTGGGCTGTGACTCTCAATTGACATGCTTGGGACCCACCAGAGGATTAGTAAAGCACACTGCTGGATGTGTATGGGAGGGCCATGAAGTGTGATCTGGGAGTCTCTATCTGGTCCCCTGTCCCTTCCTCTCTCGTGTTTTTCCCCTGGGCTCTGCTTTTCAGCCTTCTGGAAGTGAGCAGTCTTGCTCTACCATGTCCTGCTGCCATGATATTCTTGCCTTGGAACCAGCTTACCATTGACTGAACCCTCTGAACCAGTAAGCCAAAATAAGCCTCTCTTCCTTTACACTGCAGATGTTAAGTTATTTTGCCCAACATCTAGAAAGCTTACCAGTGCATGGGCTAAAACACCCTGTAGGGAAGATGCCGTTGTGAGGTTAGACTATGGCCAGACTGATGATGAGCAGCTGAGGCAGGAGGGGGTGGGCAGAGAGCCCCCTCCCTGCCCAAACCAGGGCTTGTGCTCCCAGCTAGCATGACCATGCGGCTGGTATGCAGCTGGAGTCCAAGACAGCCCTATGAACTGAGCCACAGCTTCCTCTCATGGCTTCCAGCTGGAGGAGAAAAGAAAGAATGACAGGAAACTGGGGAAGCAAATCCTTTCTTTCTCCCTGCACTGTCCCCAGAGACCTTCCTGTGACTTTCAAGAGCAGCCCCTGCTCAAAGGGGGCAAAAAGAGGTCCAGTAGAGGGATGGCGAGGGTTGCAACTAATGCAAGGGAAAAGACCTTTAATGGGCAGTGACGGTGAACTTTCTGGAGCTGTCGGTGATAGCAGATAGCCCGCTACAGCGTGAGTGCTATAGGTGTGCCACCACTGATGTAGGGGTGGGTGCCGTTTTGTGAACCGATGCCTGACAGGGAGCATGTCTGGATGAAAGCAAGCAAAGTGAGTGTGGGGGAGGGGACTACCCTTTTGTGACTCCTCACCCTGTTTGCTTTTTCTGTTCCTCAGTTCATGTTAACAACTTTGAATATCACCAAAAGCTTCCTCTGTGCAGGGTGAAGGGCTGGACTCACAGCACTAAGCTAAGCTGTCACCTACAAGGTGACATGGGGAGGCAAGTCCTGTGGGAAAGGTGCAGCTGGGGACCAGAGGTCTCACAACTAAGAGACCACTCTCCTTGAGAGAGGGGTCCACGGAAGGACCCCCTGACCTTTACTCTGGGCCACAACACCCGGTGGTGTTTCACAGTCCACAACAGGGAGGAAAGGCAGAGAGGTAGCAGGTGTGATCCAGAGTGTGCAGGCAGAGGCCACACTAGAGGGGCTGGGACAGGGTGGTTGGGTGCATCTTGTGACAAAGACTCTTGTGCCACCTTGCAGCTCAGAGAGGGCCTGTGCCAAGAAAAGACCAGGCACTCGCCAGGTCCTGGGACCCATGGAACTGAGGACAGCTGGAGAAAGGAATGGGAAAGGTGCACTTCGGCTTCTGGTGTTTCGTTTTGTTTTTTTGAATAAGGTCTTGCTGTTGCTCACGCTGGTTTTCTCCCACCTTACTGTCCCCAAGAGCTAGGTCTACAGGCCTGTGCCACCACATCTGGCTAGACCACCGGGGCTTTAACTGCAAGCAGAAGGGACGGCCAGTAGTGCACAGGGCCGTCATTCCATTGCCTGTACTCCGTGACCGCTGTCACCAGCCCCCAGGATCCTCAAGTCCTTAGTACCCACTCCTGCTGGGTACTACTCTGCCCGGGTCTCCTGCCCTTCTCTGCTTACTGTCCCCAATCTTGCCATAGCTGAAGCTGTCACATCCTCCAAGAAGCCCTCCCTGACGACCAGCCCCCTTCCTAGTCACTCTATTTTACCGTGGTTGTTTCTGTGTCTTTTCATCTGTGCTCTGCTCTGACCACAACCCGGGAACAGCACGGAGCACACAGCAAGTTCTCCAGAAACCTTCACTGAGCTGCTCAGACTGCTCTGCGCAGGGACCCCTGCGCTGGACTGACAGCCACGTCCCGTTTGGCCGCCAGGGCTGCAGCTTCCAGAAGGTGCTCGCAGAGCCTGGGTCAGACCAAGGGCAGCACTGCCCGTGCCCGGTCTGCCCTAGCCGCCGCCTCCGAGCAGACGCCGCGGCCCGCCTGGAGGGGTTCGCAGGGCGCAGACTGATGCAATTTCCTCGGCACCAACCGCTAGAAAGGGCACCGCCCCCCCCTCCCCGCAGACCGCACCCGCCCTCGCGGGAGCCAGGCTGCCCCCACCACCTGCCCCTGCCCGGGGCTCCGTGGGTCCCAGTCCCTCCAGGCGGCCGGGGCAGGGCGGCAGCGCACGGTTGCCGGGGCATGGACCGCCCCATCCACAGCGCCCTTCGCAGAGGTTCCCTCCCTGCCCTTACGGCACGGTGCGAGCCCTGTTGCGGGGCTCCCTGCGACCCCGCGTCGCCCACTCACTCGTGCTGAGCCGCCAGGCGGTCGAAGATGTAGGTGACCGGGATGGCCGAGAGCGACAGCACGAACACCCCGGTGGCCGCCGAGGCGCTCATCTCCGCCGCCGCGCGCCGCGCGCCCTTCGCCGCATCCCGCGGGCGCCCGCC